CCGGTAATACGTGCAGCAGGAGCAGATCAACCCTGAGCTTCATGAACTCATGTGCCCCCCCCCCTCCCCCCCAACCCCTCTGAAATTGTCTAGGAGCTCGTGAGCCGAAACAATTGTGTACGAGGGATCACTTCTACTGATGATTGGTAGACTCCTGCTGTACATGCTCCCCTGTGGAGTTTTTTCTTATCTTATCGATATCGATGTTTAAATTACAACTACTTCCTGAGAATCGATACCATAACAGAAGTTCCAGCTGCCCTTCTTACAACCGTATGTGGCGTCGCAGGTCGACCCAGCCTGAAATGGGTACCAGGATGGATGTCCTGGGGAAGTAAAGACGGCCGGAGTAATGCTGACAACATTACACACCCAGTGCCAATTGGTCTGTAAAAATATGACGTGCTCTTCCCATATGCCCGATGCGCCTAAAGGCATGAAAACGGATCTTTACTTTACTTTGCTTCTTACAACCGTTTACACATTTATACTATCGCTAGCTTGCCCCAAGTAGTAGTTATTGTTCTTCTGACACCACCTTGCCTTGGTCGCCTCTTACGACAGGCATAGAAGGTTAAATTGCCACCGCTCTATTCCTCCGTTATAAATTCTATATCTGCACTGAGACATACAAGAACATCTTTTTGCCAATTTTTCTGTATGGAGCAGAATGCTGGAGAATTACCAAAAAAAAAAAAAAAAAAAGGATGCACACAAGCTGTCCACCTTCCACAACACGTAGAATTATTAAATTTGTCTGGTCAGACACAATCTCAAACACTAAACTACTTCAAGTCACAAACCAAGAAACTCTAGACAGTCTGATAACCAAGAGGAGATGGAAATGGCTTGGCCACGTTACGAGAATGAATCCTGATATACCTGCCAAAACAGCTCTCACATGGACACCAGAGGGAAAGAGAGAAAAAGGGCGCCCAAAAACAACATGGAGACGAACGATGGAGTATGACCTGAGTGCAGCATCTTTGACTTGGAAGACTGCACTAAAGATTGCACAGGACAGAAGATCATGGAAAGTCCTCTCTGAAGCCTCATGTGCCACTAGGCAAAACGAGAACTGAAGATGACTGAGACATACAACCAATCACATTTTTTTCCCACCTGGAGCCCACAATATACATTTTTTTTTTTTTTTTGGCCTACTGTAAAAAAAAAAAAAAATTATTTAAAAGAACGATTCCAGTTCAATTGTCAATTTTACAATTAACAAGGGAGTTGGGTCATTATGAAACGTTGAAAGGCCTGACAGGTCACGTGACAAATCGCTGACTTCAATTACTCTCAACGGCACACAATGGATGTGATCCTTGAAGTGTAAAAATTACCCAACCGTCCAGATTCTCAGCATAAGTGCATGTCCCATAAGTACCAATCTGACATATCTGGGGCATCTGGGATTGTCTAACTTCAATTATATATAAAATGTTTGTTTTCAGAATAATCACATTAAATCGGTTTCAACGTTTTATTGTTCCCAGGTTGCCGACCATATAAGAATCTTTCTACACTCATTTTTTTTTAAAAAAATGTTATTATTTCGTATGCACACATTTTTTTTTTTTTTTAATATGTGGGTCTCACCTAGCTTTACCTGTCTTACCCGATAAAAAGTCCTGGGAAGTAAAGGCAGCTGCCCTGATGCTAACCACAGTCACCCTTCAAGTGCCGAATGGTCTATAAATTTCAAGTCCAGTACTATAAACCCCTACCTTGGTGTAGCCGTTAGACGTTCGCCTGCGGATACGAAGGTCAGTGGTTCGTATCCTGAAGGAGTCGGACAACTTTTAAAAATGACCTTGACACCCAGGACAACCCAGCCTTTTATGGGTAACAGGTAATGTCTTTGGGAAGTAAAGGCAGCCGGCGTGATGTTAACCACAATAACTCAACGAGTGTCGATTGGTATATAAAATATAAATCTAGCGCTATAAACACAATACGCTTGAAGGCGTGGAAAATAGTACTTTTACTAGGAGTTTATAGAGGTTTTTTTTAAATGTTTTTCATGAAGCAGACCTAGGTAGGAATCCTACTACACTGATCTGATTTATTATTATTATCTAAGGGTGTTTTTATTTTTAACTGCTAGATTTTACTAGGTCGTTAGCGGTTCTATGAAGAAAGACCAAACTAATATTCTAGTCTAATATAGTCGATGTTCTCGACTTTAACTTTAACTTTTGGAATAACATGTTCCTGTTTAATCACGTATGGAAGAAAAAGTCAAAAGCAGCAACCCGGATGTTATGAAAGAGGCGAGTGCTCCCAGATAATTTATCACAAACATCAGAAAGAGATGGTGCTTATATGTTTGCTATCATCGACAAAGGATGCGCCATGAAATACATCAGGTTTTGAGCTTCTGAACAACGGATCAACATCGTGGCACACGGGTGTAACCCATAAGTGCTCTGTCCTTTTTCTAATTCCAGTCTGAGTCCGAAGAAGCTCAGCACAGTGCACAGGCTCTGTACCACCGGCGGGGATCTTAAAATACTTTGCGTAGATTTTTAACTCAAAACTTTGGTCCGGGCAGCGCCGTTAGGCTATTCTTTTTTCGATTTCCAGCTGCCAAATGATTTACTGCGTGCGCAACAATGCACACTGGCGTCCGATCTCACTACCCAGAGACCAGGGGGAATTACTAGATGTCCAAGTCCACGCGAAAACATCCCAGCCCCTACCGGAGATTAAACTCGAAACCTCTAGCACTCGAGGAGGACACCACGCAGAGACCAATATTTATAGACATCAATGAAAAAAAAGGGGGGATGGGGAAAAAAAAAAGGGGGGGGGGGGTTACGACTAGCTGACAGATTCAGACAACGACCTTCTGATGGCGCAGAACGGTGCGCTTAGACTGGTGCCAGCGCATTTCAATTCTCAGGGTCACCAAAGTGTCCACGATACAAAGGTTACCGCCAGCAAGTCTAGCCACTTCTATGACAGCATCTGTGAGTACTGAAAACCTTATTATCTATCCAATAGACTCCAGTTCGTATAGGCGACTCTACATCAAGGATAGTTAGATATCATATTTTTTAGTTACGGCCGTTGCTGTTCAGTTTTTTTTTTTTTTTCTGCTAAGATTTATTTCCGGTGGTCACACACGCATGAGAAGTTCAACTGGCCAGGCAGATATGTGATTTCTCTCGGTGATACTCCAGTTAAGTTATTTCATGTATTCGTATTTTGGGTGTTGTACATTCATGTTTTTTACTGATGAAGGCTCTCCAGCCGCACGGCTGACTTGTTGTTTGTATTTGTGATAGTTTTTAGTTCTGTTTTTAGTTTGGTTTGATATTTTTGATATCTAAGAATTATTGAGGGGAAAAAGGGGGGGGAGAGGGGGGGGGGGGGCTCAAGATACACGAGAAGCCAGAATCTGGTGCCTACGCTAGTCGTTGCTGTAACTACAAGCTTAAATATGTTAAGGCTGTAACTTCAAACTTTAATGTGTTAAGGCTGTAACTACAAACTTTAATGTGTTAAGGCTGTAACTTCAAACTTTAATGTGTTAAGGCTGTAACTACAAACTTTAATGTGTTAAGGCTGTAACTTCAAACTTTAATGTGTTAAGGCTGTAACTACAAACTCTAATATGTTAAGGCTGTAACTTCAAACTTAAATGTGTTAAGGCTGTAACTACAAACTAGAAGAGTACTATCTTCTAATCGGACTACTTTTAATTACTGAAGTTTTGGTAACATTTGTTTCGTTTGTCTGTTCCTACGTTCGCACCTTTCCGTCTTGCCAGACGATTGTGTTATACTGGGCTATGATAAGGCATTGGACTTACATCCCATGGCGATGGCGAGTGTGACTAAAAAGACCTGCCTGCTTTGAAACTAAACAAAGTAAAAAAGTTTTCCACAATTAATGCCTGTGATTGTAGGTCCGTTGTTTCGATCATTTGTATGTAGTGGTTTTTTTTTCCATCTCTTCCTTCATTCTCATTCTCTCCCAGATATCCATTTTTTCTACTGCTCTGATGTACTCCAGTGTTCTCCTTCTCATCACCTGACCAAAAAATGTAGATTGTCTCTTTGTGATGTGGGCGGTAAGTTCTCTTCGTGAGTCAGTTTCTTTCAAGACTTCTTCATTACTTTTTTTAATCTGTCCAGGGTTTTCTCATCATTCGTCTTTTGGTAATAACAGACGCATATTTGTGTACAGCAATCAGCAATCGACATATGTTGTGGTAAACATCCAGGGGGCCGCTTTACTTCACAGAATATTTTTCTGATAGCACTTTTAGACCGCGGCGTCAGTGGCTTAAGCGTTGCGAGTCCGACTCGTAATCCAGCGTACCGCGATTGAAACCCACTGGTGGCTGCGTGGATTGTTATCATGGTATGGGGCGTCGCAGGTCGACCCAGGCTAAAATGGGTACCAGGATGGATGTCCTGGGAAGTAAAGACAGCCAGCGTAATGCTGACCACATTACCCACCGAGTGCTGATGGTCTGTAAAAATATGGGCGCTCTTCCCATATGCCCGATACACCTAAAGGCGTGAAAAGGGATCTTTACTTTTTTTTATTTACTTTTACTTTTAGACCGTGTCCACCTAGTAGCCACGTCCACTATATTTTCCACACCTGCACAGTGTGGATCCAATCCAAGACCTTTAGGCCGGTAAGCGACCGTCTAACCACTACAGCACCGTGACTGTCGATCAAGACAGAATGAACTCAATATTAGATCTGAAATGAAATGTACAGATTCTGGGGCCCAATTGGGGGTGGGGTAAGGACGCTTAGCAAGCATGTCGTAACCCTAAAGGCTACTATTTAAGGGTTCGCTGAAATCGGATGCCTTGTGTCGAATGGGGCATCAAGTGAAGATTAGCTGTTAACCCCAACACAGTGTGCCAACCACTTTTTTTTTAAGACGAACGCCGAATAAGATGGAGTCCTGACATTAAAGTCTGAAGGACGACAAACACAGGCAACCAACAGACACAACACGAAGCTTTTACCTGAAACAAGATGAAGAATACTGCTTTGGCCAGGCTGATCTTCCTGGTTGCCAGCATGGCTGCCGTAACTGCCGGATTGATATGCCCACCTGAGATGTGAGCGATGGACCAAACAATTGTACCCACGCTCAGGCCAAAACACAAGGCTATCTGCACGATAGGAGACGTCTTGGCAACGTTTCCGGTAAGATCGATGCAAGAACCGCAACCAACCAGTGTCAACAGAAGGGTCCCGACAAATTCCGCCACGATGCCCTTCCATAATCGCAGACTGGTGATATCTTCTAGGCTTGTAACCAT